GTCAAATGGTACCCAGCCTTGAGCTATTGTGACCCCAAAGTCAGTGGAATCTTCCTTACAGAAACAGACATTAAGACAACACCTTGCTGGTTTCAGCATCCCTTTGTGACACAATGCTAGAGAAGATGGCAACCATGGCATTTCGAAACACACAGTGCTGAGGAAACAACACCAGTTGGAAATATGTATTTCAGACTGGCAGAAATTCTCCTCAAACTTGTTATGAAAGCAAGGAGTTAATCCTTACTACACTCATAACAATTTGGTTCCTTGCCCAGGCAGATAAATCATTTACTTTTTAATTAAATTATGATCAAATTGGTATAGCTTGTTTTTGAAGCAAAATCTTAAAAACAGTTTCGCTTGCTTTAATATTAAGTTGCTGCTGGCAAAACAGGAAAACCAAGTTGATTAATGGGCTCCTTGCTAGCAAATACTTTCAGCACAAGAAATATTTGATACGAAATGTACAAGCACACACATACATTTATCCGAACATATTCGAATGACGCAACTCCTATACCAATGCTGTTGGCTCTTGGTTCACTTGTCCATCATTCGTCAAGTGGCAATTTTCAAGGATGCTGTTTTAAATCCATGGCTATCAATCATTCCTTGAAATCTGGAGAAATAAGAGCCACTGAAGAACAGGTTACTCACAAAAACCTGACACTACTCTCTACATTCACCTCTTTGACAATACTCCTTCGTGAAAACAGTTGTAGAGATGTAAAATTGGGTGAAAGTCTAAGATCAGCCAAAGAAACCAAATGAGATGTGATGTGTTGTAAAGACAACCATGGTGAAAACAAGAGTACTTGAGCACAATTTGTCAAGCATATCCCTCATTCTCCCAAAGGGTTTTTTTTTCAAAAGACAACTTTGTTTTTTCCCCTGAAGACATTTCACTTTTCATCCAAGAAGCTTCTTCAGTTCTAGTTGAACAGTTTTAGTTGTAGCTCAGTTCTAGAACTAAAGAAGCTTCTTGAAGGGAAGTCCTTCTTAGTGTCAAACAGTCACTAAATAAGTCAAGGATTGCCTGTATTCTGGTGCTGAATACTTTGAAAGGTATAGAAATGCTCAGGTTTATTCATCAGTATTTTATTTATAATAACGTTATAATTTTCCTGACAGTTAGAACAATTAACCAGTGGAACAACTTGCCTCCAGAAGTTGTGAATGCTCCAACACTGGAAGTTTTTAAGAAGAAACTGGACAACCATTTGTCTGAAAGGGTGTAGGTTTCTGCCTAAGCAGGGGGCTGGACTAGAAGACCTCCAGGGTCCCTTCCAACTCTGTTATTCTATTCTATTCTATTCTATTCTATTCTATTCTATTCTATTCTATTCTATTCTATTCTATTCTATTCTATTCTATTCCCTAAGCAGCACAGTTCGTCTCCAATGGAAACCTTGCTCTTTTTTTTATTATTTTTTTCCCCTTAAGGCATGTATGAACCGAATGCTACCGGTTCTCCCCCCCCCTCTTCCCTACTTAATTAACCACCCCTGTACATGCAGGGCGTGTGTGCGTGTCAGCATCTCTCTGAAGCATTTCCCTGGCAAAAGGTAACGTCAACATTACACTGGAAAAGGCAAGCTGTTTCTTGCAAGGTAGAGACTGGTACACACCCAGTTATTTTGAGGGATCAAAAAAAATTAATAAATTTGGGATGTTGGAACCAGCCCACATTAAAAGTCCTTTGAACATTTGCTCAGTTAAAAAGTGAAATTACCCAAGGGCTTTTTTTTGTGTGTGTGTGTGTGTGTGTGTGTGTTTTTTTTTTTGGTGAAAAGTATAAAATGAATACGCACGGCATACACCTTTCCTAAATATAACCCCAGAAGTGAAAAATGTTAAAAAGAAGAACACACCTACGGTATTTTCACTTTCCACAGAGCAAAGCACAGCATCAAAACCGTGGCAACCTGTAGGACCAGCTCCAAGCCTCTTCTAAGCCAACATTCTGTTATTATAAGCAGCTGGAATCGCAAAGCCCGGAAAATAGATCAGCAAAACATCAATACAATTTACCCTCCTACCCTCCTCGCCTAGAAACAGGTACCAAGCACCGAACCAATTCTGATCTCTTTTCAACACACCTCAGAGGCAAAGGCAGGTTGAGCCTCCATGAATCTCTCTGACCCCTTTCTGAAGTCACCTGATTTGTTTCAAGCCAGCCTGCAGATACCCACGTTGAACCAAGGGTGGGGAAAGCAGCTGGGTTTTTGCACAAGCAGCTTCTAAATGGAAAATAACTTTCTCACGCAAGCGGTCAGATTTAGGAGCTGGAAGTATGAATCAGACAAGCATTCACCTCTTGATGCTTTCACACATTCGGGTTAATTTTGCAGGTTGGACAAGGCTGTTCCTTTGAATGAAAGAAGAAATTGGTACTGATAGAAGAGAATATTTGCAGCTCAGGGTTGAACTGTGGGGCCCTTGGTGCTCTCTGAGCTGGTGGTTTTCTTGCAGACATTTCATGACCCAACTAGAGAATATCATCAGTACTAGAATGGAGTAGGGTTTGTGGAGAGCAGGAGGAGGAGGAGGAGGAGAGGGGAGGGGAGGAGAAGGGAGGAAAGGAAAGGTCCTTGGTTGTTTTCTTGCAGATGTTTCATTATCCAAACATCATCAGTGCTAGGAGGCTTTGCTAGAACGAATATCACGTCCTTCTAGACTAATGATGTTACCTAGTGGGGTAATGAAATGTTTCTACCAAGTCCAGAGAGCACCAAGGACCCCACAGGGGGGAAAAAAAGCTTATTTAATATTCTTCCTGTCACAGGTTCAGTCTATCTCTCAAGACAGAAAAGAGAATCTGGGAGAGAGAGAAAAGGCCCCAAGTACAGAGTAGCCTTTGGATTGTGGTCTGATCCAGGACTAGAGAAGAATTAGTGACAGGCAATGGGGCATCAAGCTGAACCACCTTGGGGACCAATGACCTTAGATTTGAGCACAGTAATTCTTTCAAGCTAATCACTGGGGGGAAAAAAACTTGGAAAATTCTGGCTGGATGCACAATGAACATTTTTAGATTGTTCTTAAGGCACCAAACACCACCATACTGAAGAGTTTGATCTGCTAGGAAGGCGGTAACCATGTCCTCAAAGGATGTAGACACATGCATGGATGGAATGCCTGCCTCCAGAAGTTGTGTTGAGTTGTGCTCCACCAGTGGAGGTTTCCAAGAAGAGACTGGCAGCCATTTGTCCAGAATGGTGTTGGGTCTCCTGCTTGAGCAGGGGGTTGGCTAGAAGACCTCCGAGGTCCCTTCCAATCCTATTATTCTATCTTCTATGATATAAAAAAATGGTTTCATGTGAAGTGTCCCACTTCATTTCCTTCTCCAGCTCATTGTCCGATTTTGGAGTCTGAACAAAACCCAGGGATCTGAAGTTTGTGGGGCCTTTTCATTTAGGAATCTTAAAATCAGTCCTTTCCCATGCTGAGATTCCCCATCTTTAAAGTGGTCGTTTTGTGGAATTTCTGTTTGTTAACTAGAGGTAGAAATGGATTTGGGTAAGAGTTTTGCTTTACGCGATCATCTCAGGAAAACAATTAAGCAAGAGCTTCTCTTTTAAATAATGGTGGAACTGCATGTTGAATGTTTACCTGCATACATCCCTCATCTTTCTAGTATGATTTGAAAAATTTAGGCAAAAGGAGGAAATGCATGAATGCTGACTTGTAAAACAACATGGATGTTAGAATGTAAAGTCTTTATAGCATTTGTTACACGGAATATAGATCTGATGCTTTAAATTCCTGAGGATCTGTAGGAAATAGGATCCATTTTATAATCTTAGAAATCAACTGGTAGAACAGAGATCCCTTGGTCTCTTGAGAAATCAAAAGATGATCCGTGTGGCAACAGTGACATCTCCTGGTTGGGAACGGAATAATTATTTAAGTGTAAAATAGCGTAATTATGCCTTTAGGAAATTGGTAACTTTCCTTTCTTTTCAATGAGGAAAAGGAAGCGACTGCCTCACTTGTGGCACTCTCTCCTTGCCTAGTCAACATCTACATGGAGCCGCTGGGCGAGATCGTCCGTCATTATGGGTTGACCTATCACCATTGTGCTGATGATACTCAGCTCCACACCTGGTGCCCAGAGTGATGAGGTCACACTACCTTTTCGTGGTGCTTGGAAGTTGTAAGGACCTGGGATTGGGGGACAACAGGTTTCAACGGAACTCTGCTGGGCAAGACTGAATGGCTTTGAGGGCATGGAACCTCATGATCCGAGGTTTTGTCATCTTTAATCCTGGACGGGGCCACATTACCCCGTTCAGATCCAGTTTGCAATTTAGGGGCTCACCTGGACTCACATCTCCTACTCGAAGAGCAAATGATGGCGTGACTAGGAGAGGTTTTGCACAGCTCGTTTCTGCACCAGCGGTGACCTTTCCTGGCTCATGATTCCCCTGCGCTCAGTCACTCAAAGCTCAGTCCTCTCTTCTCTGGACTACTGCAATGTACTCTACATGGAGCTACCCATGACATCCATTCAGAAGTTTCAGCTGGTGCAAACTACGGCAGCGAGAGCCATCTCTGAGGCCCCCAAGACGGCCCATGACACACGTCTGCTAAACAAACTTGGCTGGCCACGCATCTGCTTCCGGGGGCAGTTCAAGGTGTTGGTTATGACCTTCAGAGTCCTTAATGGCAGAGGCCCAGGCCACCCGAGGATCCACCTCATCCCGCTAGGACGAGCCTCTCCTACTCGTGCCTTTGATTGGTTCTTTCCATTTCTTTTATAAGTCGCCTGAAGTAGCCCCATGACGAGATAGGCAGCAAATAAATTTAACAAATAAATAATAAATGTTACTAGTTTTATGGTATATTCTTTGCTAGGAAAAATTTGAAACAAATCTCAACATCCCTAACAAATATTGACATGGTCTTAAAAAATTAGGAGTTATAAATTGAGTTTTCTACTTGCATTAAATGCATACTATTTATTCATTTAGTTATAAAATATACAACCTAGTAAATTTACAAATTTAATGAAACATTTTTATTTTAAAGACCAAAGAAAGAGAGAGATAGATGGCTCAACAACCAGAGACTTATTTTGCAATTTCAGCAAATTGATTTGTATGAATACATCAACTTGTTAATGAACAATTTTTATTATAGAGTCTGTGCAATATATCAGAAGCATTCATTTTTTAAATGAAAGATAAATTTTCTGTTTCATACAAAATGAAACTAATTTTCTTTGCTGACTATCAGAAACATATAAGGAAACAATAAAGTTGAGTTCAAGAATGTAGAAAATATCCTATCAAACATTGAGTAGTTTAAAGACTGCAGGCTAAAAACAAAAATACCCCAAACCTTGCCATCCACAGAAGAGCCACAGTAGGCCTTTTCAATTACTTTTTAGAAACAGAAAGTGGGAATAAAAAGAAACTATTTCATATCAAATAATATTAGTCAAACTAGTGACACTGAAGCGTAGAAATACATTTAATAAATAATCTACCCCAAAATTGGAAAACAGAACAAAACGGGAGGAATGCAGAGATCTAGCACAATTTTTCCATCTTAGAAATCAATTCTTCACAAATTTTTGTGAGTTCCTTGTTTTCTTTTACCTGTTAAAGAAACAAAAAGAAAGCATCGTATGGTAGATGTTGCATAAATACAATTTAGAAAGTAACATTTATATTAACCGAGTTCTCCTTCATAGGAACAGCTTTCTCTGTGTACATGTATGTGTGTGGTACTTATAAAAAGGAAAATGTAGTTGCATATGTCGATTATACAAGGAGCTGTACACTTTTAAGTAGAGTTCAACTTGAATTTTAATAGCCCACACTTTCCAAATGTCAGTTTGGAGGGCAGTTTTTTCGTATGCCCCACAGATGAATCCAACTGACTTGCAGGCTTATCAATGAAGAGTTAGCTAGAATTGCTACGTAATGTGACGGACGTGCCATAAATTCGCCATTACTGGTTTTCTTCTTTTAAAAAACCCACCCAGCGTGGGAGACAAGTCTTGCCTCCGTGGTCGGCCTCGTTGCTTGGGAAGAGCGGGGGCTCTCGGTTGGACTGACCTTTTGCTCAATGCTGCTCTCCAGCGACTGGACCCTCATCTGTTCTTTGCGCAAGCTGGCATCGAGGGCAGCCACTTCCGATTTGGCTTTGCTTCTCACCTGGGCAATCTCCTCGTTGGCTCTGCGTGGGAAGGAACAAAACAGCCACGCACGTTAACTCAGTCAAGGTTTCTGCTTTCTCCCCAACTCGGAAGGACCCAGACGCCCAACTCACTGATCCAACTTTTCTTCTGCGTGAGCCTTCAGGGCCTGGTATCTCTGCTCTTCCTTCTTAATTCTCTCAAGGTAATCCTCCACGCATTTCTTCAGTGTGTCTTCATTCTAGAGGACGAGATTGGGTCCTTTGGATTTCACTGGCCAGGACAAGCCCCCACCTTCCCCGTTGTCTTCTTGAACACAAAGCCATCACACAAAACAATCCTCTTCGTTTGAATGGGAATATTATACCTTTGTTCAGTTTGAGGCTTTCAATTCTGGCTCTGCTAATAAGCACTTAGATTTCGAAATAAAAAATGCCAGTCTTAGCTCCTTTCACCAGCATCATCACCATTGCTAAACTGTTGGTAATTAGATTCTTAAACATTCTTATGTGGATATTTAAGGTAGCATTTTGCCTGTTTTTGAGGCAAAAACTTTCTTTAGGCAAACCTGTTTTTCTCCAGTAGAGCAAATCCAGATATCTGATCAGATACAGAAACTGGAATTTGTTTAAAATAAATGTTCATTTAATGACACCCTTCTCTTCTGACCAATTAGCGTAATTAACCAGGAGACAATACTGGTTCCCTATGTACAAAAGCAAATATCTTTTTAAAAAAAAGCAGAAATAGCACCCTCCTATTGAAAATAAAGAGCTATTAACAGCATTCCAAAGAAAGACAGCAAAGTGTTTTAGGATCTATTTATACTCCTTCAAATATACAATTATCCCCAAATGTTTGAAGATTGGTATTTGGCACAACTGTAGTTATTTATATTGTATTAGCAATGTAGGCAGCTCTGTTGCCGATTGCAAAGATCCTCATTCACGAAAAGGACACCTAAAGCTTCCATCCTTTAAAGCCAAAATGCTTGTCATGAAAAAAATGAAAGTTTCAGGGAGTCAAAAGCAGCTCAGAGCAGAGCAGCTGAAGGAAAAAAAAACAAAACAAAAACACCCGCTCACCTTCTGAAATCCTTCTATGGCCTCCTTTTGTTTTGTAAACCGGTTGAAGAATTCAGAGAAAGACTTTTCCAAGGCATTCAGGTCCGAGACCGCCTGCTGTTTTGCATCCAAGGCTTTCTGCAGTTCTTTTTTTGCAAGCTCCTTCTGGGTCTGACAATCCTCTGCGGAAAACAAGTCAGTTCAATGGGCACAACCTTCTAGGACAGGAGCCCCCAGCCTGTTGGGAACTGGGCTGCACAAGCAGAGGGCGAGCGAGCAAAGCTTTATCCGCGCATGCGTGGGATCTAAGGTTCCGCAACACCCCCACCCCCACTGCCGGTCCATGGGAAAAATTGCCTGGTCCTTGGTGCCAGAAAGGTTGGGCGCCACTGTTCTAGGAAATATAGAAAAAGCCAGAAGGAAATTCCCCCCAAGACACTACCTATTCAATTATTGATCTTAAAATCTAAATGTCGATGGAGATTCTCAGTCATCCAAGTCATTGGTTGTCCCAAAGGTGCTTTTCCAAGAGGCAACTAAGCTTCCTGGTTTTTCTTCATCCAAGAAGCTTCTTCAGCTCTGGCTGGCTGGTGGGGAAGGATTTATATTCATTGCAGACAGCTGGTCATTTGCCTCCTTTTTGGAGAGTCGTTGAGGCTACTTGGAGGTTTATCTGTGTCCTCTCTCTCTAAAAGGATGCAAATGACCAGCTGTCTGCAAAGAATAGAAATCCTTCCCTTCCCCACCATCCAGTCAGAACTGAAGAAGCTTCTTGAATGAGAAGCAAAACATCTTCAAAGAAAAAACAAAAAGTTCAGTTGCCTCTTGAAAAAGCACTTTTGGGACATCTTAAAATCTAGAAATTTTGGGCAGGGGGATCTAATCTCAGGGTCTCCCGACCTGAAACCCTCCCACTATCACTGAATGATGTTCCCAGTCTTCCTTAGCCCTCATCATAACGACTTGGCAGTACAAGTTGTGTAGTGTCACAACACCTTAATCTAGCCATCCAGTCTGTTTTCTAGCCGACTGCAGGTGAGGTAGTTTCATGCGTTCAAGTCTCAGGCACAAAATGCCAAGTCCAGAGGGGATTGTGGGATGTTGCTCCTTCCTCAGAAAGAGATATTTACAGCACCTAATCTGAACCTACCCATCACCTGTACGATGATGTCCTCAAACTCTGCAACAATTTTTCTGAAAATGAGAGAAGAAAATTATATTAACATGCCATCAGGATATTTAATCAAATGTCACACTGCTGAATAGGTCCCACTTTCTGTCAGCAAGTGCCTTTGAGACGTCGCCGTTCTCTGAAGACGGCCTTTCCTTTCACTCCCAGGCCCTCCTAGCAAAACTAGGCGGTGAAGGAGATGAAGAGAAGACAAAGCAAGAAAGGTCATTTGCCCTCTCAAAACAAAAGGTGGGCAAGGCAAACAATTGGCAAAATGAAATCAGGAGAGGCACCTACAGCCTCATCTGTTACAGATTGCTGGTGAGAAAAGGAAGATTAAATCCAGGGGTTAAAGGCCCCTGGCTACAAACCAGGGGACGGGGAGTCCTAGTCCTGCCTTAGCCATCAAAGCCAGCTGGGTGACTTTGGGCCGGTCACTCTCAGTCCGACCCACCTGCCAGGGTTGTTGTGGTGAGGAAATTAGGAGGAAAGAGGATTAGGTATGTTTACCACCTTATTTATATAAAAATAAGAAAGGAGGGATATAAACCCATCCATCCATCTCTGGAAAAACAGAATGCAAAGCAAAAGCATGCGACCTAATGCAGCCGTTCTCCCGGCCATCGTTAACCAATGCGGAGTCTTTTGCTGGTCTTTGTGGAGAGAAAAGCCAATTTATAATTGCATCACAAAACTAGACCAGGGCTCTTCATGATGGGAGGATTAAAGAAATGCTCCTTTTATTGTTGCGTGCATGGTATAACTATGCACCCCTGCTTGAGTTTCCTCCCCTCGTATGCAGGTAGTCCTTGACTTACAAAAGTTTGTTTAGTGACCATTCAAAGTTACAATGGCAGTGAAAAAAACTGACTTTTGACCATTGTGGCATCCCCATCATCATATTATTAAAATTCAGAGGCTTGGCAACTGGCATGGACTTATGACGGTTGCAGTGACCTTCTAACGAGCAAAGTCAACAGGGGAAACCATTCACTTAACAACCGGGTTACTAACAACTGCAGTGATTCACTTAGCAAGAAAGGTCATAAAACGGGGCAAAACTCACTTAAAAAATATATCTCACTTAAGAACAGAAATTTTGGGCTCAGTTGTGGTCATAAGTCGAGGACTGCCTGTACTGAAAACTCAGTCAAGGTGCAGCTATTCTGAGTTTCTTCCTCCTGCTCATCACAAGGCAAAGCCCAACCCATAAAACATACGTTCAAAAAAGAAAAGAAAGAAAAAGGAAAAGAAAAGAAAAGGAAAGACAAAGGGCAACCTCTCTTGCACACACCCTCCTCACCAGTGATACCTACTCCATTTCTTTCTTTTCAGCATAGATCTTGTCGTGCTTCTTCTTCCATTCCAAGGCCTCCGTTTGCTTTTCTTGGATCTGAAACAGCAAAAATTCCCTAAGCCCTTAGCAAGAAGAGGTGGGTGGTTGGATTTCGGGAGGGAATGAAAGTTAGCTAGCCCGTTTTCCCCTGGCTTCCCTAACTTTTCTCCAACAGAAGCACAACAGTCCTAGGACCACTCTTTTTGTCAGGGAAATTCCACTGGGGAAGCTGGATAAAACCACTAGGATATAAAAATCTACCACAAGGCCCTGGAGCATACCATTGAGGGGACCAAATGGCAGCCGTGGAATTGGATGGCTTTGCAAAACAAGCACGTGGAAGACGGTCCTTTGTCTTGTTAGGTTTCCAGAAGAGCCCAGAATTTAGAGCCATAACGCTTACAGGCAAAGGCGGAATGGCTTGCATTGAATTGGAAATGCAGCAGGAGGGGCCAAATTAATTTCCCCACAGGACGCTGCTACTGTGGTCCCCGCCATGGGCCGCATGGGGACAGCCAAAGGGTTGAGATAGCCTGGGGGGCTTGGAATGCCCAGGTCTGGTCTAAAGCAAGGATCTCCAAACTTGGCCACCAACCGCCAGAATT